GATTACAAATACATACAACTCTACATAGTCTATTAGCCAACAAGCCACTACCACATGGACATTATGTATAAATAAGCAGTTACATGGACACAAAATCTATACTTGTAGACAATCCTGCAATTACAATTTAAAAATATAGGCAAAATAATTTCATTGTGCATACGTCTGTACAATCTAGTGCGATTTCTAAGCAACTACAACTCACCTATCTCAATAAGCACTTTGAGGCCAACCAATGATTACAGTATCACCTGTTATTACTGGCTTCTTTATGTCTGATATGGAGCAAGAAACCTGACTATTTCTAGTATTGATATTTCAGTATCAATTAATGAAATCTTACTTCTACTGTTTCAGAATCCCAGATTAAGAAGCATCAGGCTGTGCAAAACCAGTTTCTTCAGGCATATGCAACATTCACCAAATAGGAACATAACTGATTTCCCATGATCCATTATTTTAAAGTCCTTGTAAAGGATAAGGTTCCAAATAACTTCAGTCTTAACTAATTTTAAAAAGTTACAGTCCCTATGATCTAATGTGTTCTATATTTACACAGCAAAAGTACATACTTATCTGTGTTGTGAATCTAACTGTGCCATTTTGGTTACAAATATAAGATGTGCTCTGTGAGATAAGACCACAGTCTATCTGGATGAGCTAATTTTTTACAAGACTTGGATCACCCATCAGCAACTAGACACAGAAGAAATTAGTCAATGGTCAATTGAAGCATTAGTTTCCCTTCAGCAAGCTCCAACTGGCAGGATTTCTGATTAATTAATCTTTACTGTACTAGCTTTTTCTTGCCTTTTCCCATCTAAAAGTTTAATACAGAACCTAGGACAGAACTGCACAGGAGAATAAACCTATGTTCACAGCTCTACATTTCCCCCATTGTTAGAGTTACACTAGTATTAGAAAAGGTTGTTTAGATAAACATTTATATCCACCAAGAATAGCTTTCATCCATGGTTTTTTGCAACATGGATAAAGTACAACACCCCTTGAGGGTCACATGTTCTCTTTCCATGTGGCCAGGAGGAAAACTCTGAAAGCTTTAACTGTGAGTTATAGTTAACTAGTTTCTCATTTCAGTCAGTCCATGGATTGTGAATATTAACTACTGTGAGTTTAGGGACAAGCCAACCATAAACCACAGATTATGAATTTGGCTAACTAAAGTCAAGAAAAAAGTGTGCAGAAATGCAAGAGCTTGAGGCTTTCTATAGCTCATATACATCAAATAAACCATGTTTTACTGTGACAAGCAAATAAAGCAAAAGGAAGCTCCCTTTGAATTCTTATTAACTCATACTGCAAAATTCTAAAGTTATATAAGGGACATCTGCATGTTTTCCCCAGATCTTTCACAGAGACCTGTTAGTGCATACAATTGTTAATAACATCAAGAATAGTTATTTGACAGATATTTTTAAAAAAAACAGCATGAAGAAGTGATTGAGTTTATTTACAATTGTGAGCGAACTGTTGTATTTAATTTTGTTTCGTGCATCATTTTTCTATTTTTTAAAATCCCATCAGTGTCTACCAAATATGCACAGAGAGCTGACTGGCTATAGGCACAGTATAGAAATGCAGTAAACAAATAAATTTCTCCATATTGTTTCATCAGGCAAATTTTCTGAGGAGGGAAGAATAGGCTGCCTTGATGCTGCACAACCAGAGACTTAAACTGGATTCAACAAGGAGGGGTTACATCTAGGACTGCTGGGATGAACAAGGAAATTCTGTGGTTTGCCTAAAGTTGCAGACTAATCCAGACATCAACAGGATTTTATACTTTCCCAAATGGGAGAAATTAGTCATTGCAAATTTTTTGGTCCTCTAAGAATTCCAGGTATAATCTGAACCTACATGACATATGGTAGACCATACTCCATTTAGTTTCTTTCCTCTGTTTTAAGGCACTGAGCATACAGATGTCAACATTCCCACCCATACTTTTTGTAACATCTTGCTTGATGAAGGGATCTGGAGATGCTGAAAACTCATCCATAATTTTGTGCATATTTGGTTGGACCTAACAAAGGTACTGTCTGACTGAGAAATGTTTTTCTTAAGAACCAACATTTACTTTATCCAATTTCAAAGGAAAATTTAAAGCTTAGACTTTAGATAGATAGACAAAAGTTTGCTTAATGGGGTATATTTATATATATACACATATTATGTAACTGTATAATTTAAAACACTTTCTTTTTTGCTATTATCTAAAGCTAACCATTTAGGGCATGATGCCAGCAAAATGTCAGCACTTTTCAGATCCACTGATTTTAGTGGGAAAATAAATGTACTCTTTTCTCCCTTGATGCAATCAATGGAGGTTGAAAGCAACTAACTTTAGCTGGATCATGGCAACTGAAGGATTCTTACCACATAAGACACCTTTAGAGAAATAGGGTCAGTATTCAAAGAAATTCCCTGTATCTGGTACACTTACATAACTGAATCCATTTTTTTCACATTCTGATACGCCATAGCCCAAGCCCTCTTCAGCAATAGCATTTCAGTATTTTAATAAAGATATACAGTTACCTTTCAGAAAAAGATGTCCCTCTAACCATTCCAGAGGGGCTGACCAAGCCTGTGAAGAAACAACTCACTATTATGGAACAGCCATGAGAGCATCCCCCAGCACCAAGTACAAACTGCAGTTAAAAGACACTGGGGTAAACAATCAGAAGGAAAGTACAATCAGCACTTTTGCATCAAAGTGAATCAGTTCTATCTACTTGAACACACTACTGAAAAATAAACACTAGAGAAATGTTGCACATGCAGTACACTGCAATTTCAAAAGTAAACCTCTCCCATTTCGTTACAGTGCAATCCTTTGCATGTCTACTCAGAAATCCCAATAAATAAGTTTTACTCTTAAGTAAATGTGTATGGGATTGCAGTCTAAGTCAACCATACCATTCACTCAATCAAAAAGTCTTTCAGGCCACACTCTTTTTCATGCATTTATAGGAATAAGCCCCATGGACTCAATGGGATTTAATTCTTAGTAGAACTGTACAGGATTGCACTGTTAAGAGGGACTAATTACTTGGACTATAACTGCAGAGGATGTTCAACACCTCCTTATAATTACTGGTTTTCTTACAATGCTAAGCCTCTAGAGGGAAAATTCCAGCTACTGACCAGATAATTTATAATTGTGTCTGTAATAAGTAGCTTTGTACTAATTTGCTTCAGCATCCCACAAGAAGAACTGCTGTATCACTAGCCAAACCTCATAATAAAAAGGAATCATTTACTAACTGAACACCTCTTCAGACATAATGAACAGCCTACATACATTCTATATGGAAAAGGACACAATCATGTGATGCACAGTTGTCTATTTTGCTACACAGGCATACAGCAGCACATACATATTTTTCACATGATGGTTTTCCTACAGAACACTCTGGACCATGTAGAAAGATATCATCTAAGAAGCAGTCTTTTAAATTTACCAAACAAAATAGTCAACATTTATAAATAGGAACAATGTACTATCTTCACAACTATTTGCAAAATTAAAGACAACATCAGGAACCAACAGAAAAGTGACATTAAATGACAAGTTCAAATTAGTACTCAGCTGTGCTGGAAGTCATTGAACTTGGTGGGAAAAGTGAGTTAGTAAGAGCAATCCAGTAACAGGACTTTGATGGCTATGAGAAAAGCCTAAAGCAGTAAACCCAGCTCTCTAGAATCACAATTTAGTTTCACCTCTTAAAATCCCCTTACCTGTTTAAGTTTTATACAGCAGTTTGCCATGGACACATAATTTGCAGAACACAATCGATGCATCCTTTGTTGATAAGCACCTGCTGCCTAGCAATCATCCTGCATGGATACAGGACAGTGCTAGTGTTCTTTATCCACAATAGGTTAAATATTTCAAGGCAACCAGAGCAAGCTTGCATTTCAAGGTGTCTTCCATCTGTATGTCAAATGGCAACTAGTTAATTCTAAGAGACTGGCAAACAAATGCAGTTTCTGCAGCCACGGTGCAGGTGCAGCACTGTTCGCTTCCTCTTGACCTCTGGTGGTGTGTCGACAGCTGTGCCCCGAAGTCTCCTGCAGCAAAGAGTTGTACTCCTGCGCAGTGGGAACAGCTTTCCAAAGCTCAAGATCCCCAAATGCAGGAATTATAGCACATTTTTTCAAAGTGTCACCACTTTTTTTCTCCTCTCATCATCTGTACTACAAACTACAAGTTTGTAGTGGTACCTACGAAACGATCAAGGTTGCATGCACATCCAAGGTGTGTAGAGCAATTGCTTCAAAACTCGTCAAGTAAGAGCACAAATACCAATGGTACAGGATTTAAATGACAGCACTCTATCTCTCAGGAACTCTTCATCCATTCAGAACTACACCCAGGACTGCATAACTCTGGTGAAAAGCCCCTGGAGGTGGAGGAGCTCTTCAAGTGTGTCTGGAAACGTGCTATCACTTAATTTATGAGTTTACGTTTTCTTTTTTTCAATTTGGTGAAAAGGTTATGCGCAAGATGCAAAGCAATTTCAAATTTTCTTCAAACTAAAATCAGAACTAAGGCCAAACAAGTTAGGTGAACAAAACAAATCAAGAACTTAAAATTCAGGAACTCCAGCTCTTCATAATCAACCAAGTCCCAGATTTGTACACTGTTCTGAGACTTAAGATGCATTCCCTGTTTCTTGCATGCCAGCAACAGCACCATTTCCTCGTAAAGGTGAGGAGATAGCAGCCATTGATCCCCATTCACTGTAAACACGGGGGACACAGCAACACACCAGACCAGATTTTCTTCAGATCTGATACAACAGGATGGTCAACATCAAAGCGTAGGTCTCCCTGCTTCTTGTCTGAGACCCACAACTATCAGATCGAGGAGGAGCAGGAGCAGCAGCAGGAGCAGCAGCAGCAAAGTACCCCCACAGCTGCAAACAAAGGGGTCAAAGGTTTGTCGTCAATTCATTTCCAGGCAGAAAAACCACTTCCTCAAAAGAAACAATTTATTTATAATGAAACAAAATCAGCTCAACTGTGAGCGCATGTTTTGAGTGACAGCTACTTTAAGCTGTGTGAGCCATAAAAAGGTTTTTTTCCTTTACTTTTGCAGAAATCTTGTGTACACAGCACAAAGCAAAGAGGTCAATTTTCCACTTAAAAACACGGGCATTGGCATCACAATAGCAGATACACAACTTTTTTTTAAGCTGCCATTTTAGTAAAATGCACAAATACTAAACAGATAAGCTTTCTTCCATGAGGCCCATGTAAATTCCACATAAGCCAAAGCTTTTTCTTCGCAAAGGTCCATTAGCACTTGAAATCCCTTGATGTCTTCGGCAGTTCACCAGCCTTGCTTTCAGGAGGAAAGAAGAGGTTATTCAGTACAAATGTTTAGAACAAGTTTGTCCTCTCCCTACATTAACAGATAATGTATATAATTACAAGGCTTTTGACTCAATATTCTAGGTAAAGTCTGAAAGCACCAATCATCCTTCACTGGTACAAAATTTTTGAATTAACCAACATCTGTATATAGATGCACAATGAGCAGTTCAGGGGTTTAAAATGTAGGTTACAGATTGAAATATTGAACTGAACTAGTAAAAACCCAGGAGAAAAATCAACTGAATTATTTCACAATTCACATAATTTCTCTCACTTCCATAAAGGCAACTCAAACAAGAACATGAAATTTAGTGTTCTGTTTGTATGCTTATCACACTTTTCTATGCATCTCCAGCTGCAGGCTCAACAGTAATTGGTGAGGGGGAAAGCCAGCAATATACATTAGATTCTCCCCCTTCTACATATGCATACATTTCTCCCATTTTTTTCAAAAAGCTTGGATAAGTACAACTGGAAATATTGCTAATTAAAGCAAATCTGGAGTATAATCAATGGGCAGTATCTAATTAACTTCTCTTAGCAATGGAACTGCTTCCATCAGCTGAAAGGGGAGGGGGAAATTCTGCCTCCTCCCTGCAGTCCTTCCCCTCAAACTTTGCTCTGGAAAATTGGGGCCACTCCATAGCAGATTTGAGGAAGGGGATACAAGAGGCTTTGAGGAGAGGAAAATTCCACTGCAGAATCAGAAGTCTATTTGCATAACATCAGATTTTGCCCCTTATTTTCATCTACAGAAAATAAATGGAAGCCCAGAAAAATAAGACAAATCTATTCTTACAATTTGCTTTCACTTCCAGTTATTCCTCAAATTACGCCATTTTATCTGGTGTCCAACAAGCACTGTTCTTGTGCTCATTTTAGTGGCAATTTCTATATTTTCCACTTATCATCCAATGCCAAAAAGTCTTTGGATGTATTCCCTGTGTCTTTTTACTCTAAATAATAGCCATGCTCTAGCTGCTTGCTTGAATTGTCCAAAGAAGTTACTTCCTTCTCCTTTATACTCCTTGGAAAGGAGTGATCCACACTAAAGATTGCTTTAAAATGCTAATCTTGACTCCACTTCCATTGTTCTCATGTGGACCTCTCAAAATAGGATGCTACTATATAGAACACAGAAGTGGATCTCACAGCAATGAGGTAGCCTTACATTCATGCCACAGCAATCTATATGCTGAACTTTCAAGCATGCACAGCCACTGGCTAACAACCAAAACAGCCATTTAAAGTTTCCAATTGTGAGAATTTACGTTCTAATGACAATATGCCACTTAAGATTTTTCCATAAGCAGCAACAACAAAAAGATGGCTATTAAATTATGTTTTAGAAACAGACACATTACCCATTCTAATGCCATACACTACAATGGATGAAAACACACTTGTATGAATACATGCAGCATTCAAGTACACATTGCTTCCATTAAAGTCCCATACCGCCATATACAGAGACAATTCTTTTTCTTTCTGTGTAGAAATGGCATTAGATTCAACTTCTGCTAGTGCCGAACTACTGCCAGGATAACTTGGACTGCTATGAACATTCAGAGCATATTGAAATTGTTATTTAGATTTTATGGCAGTCATGACTAAGTGCTGTCATATAAAATGTTCCTCATCAATCCTTTTAGCCTACAAAGGGTTCCTAAAATCTTCTCTCCTCTTATAACTACAAATGAACCAGATATATATATATATATGCATACATACATATATATAAAACCAAAAATATTAAATAAGAATTTGGGAAAACTAAAATAGCCCATTTTATGTAACCTTTATACACCTCAGTTCATGAAAATAAGCAGTAATGAGCATAACTGATTTTCATTTTCAAGGAGGAGAAAAATCCACTGTTTTCAAATAGCAGTTGCCAAATTTTTGCTTGTAAACAAATATATTCAAAAAATTTACCTAACATTCAAGTTCTGTAGGACATTTAATAAAGGAGAGCACTGCATGTTAGAGAATGCATGCTTTTGCCGACAAGCTTGACTTCTCAATATAAACAAATTTAAATGTTTTGAAGGATTAATAGATTGGTTTTCTTTAAATGGCCTATTAATCCAACATAAATCAGATTCCCTCTCCAGACAACTACAGTAGAACTCACTGTATATGCCATTAGTCCTTGACAAAAGCAGTAACATGCATAACCCCAGTAATATTCATATTATGAAGTAACCAGCAAGATAAACCTGCCCTACTGACTTTGTCTGGAAGGAGTGAACATATGAAACACTTCCCCTAAGGTTATGCCACCATTTCAAACTATTACACAATTCTCATTGTTAACAACAAAAACAACAACAGTGGCTGGATTTTGTGTATGAGATGAAGGGCTTTTAAATCCAAAGTTCAAATGTTTCTTCCTTTATTACAGGACAACTGATATTTTAAATTTGTATTTTATACTAAACATTATTTCAAATGCCTTGTTGGATTTAGACTGCTACAGCCATATTTTCAGAAGTGAAAGAACAAGCTAATTTCAGAAGTGAGGCTCCACTCTAAAAAGTGACTTTATGTTTCCCAATATACTGCTACACCTAGCAGCATATTGTTTTCAACAAGTCACATTTCAAAATACTGTAATCTTTCATATTTGGGAAGAACCATTTTACACCTGGTAGAAAATATAATCTTTTGTTACCCAAAGACTGGCATAATAGCTTCAAAGACTAACACTATTTTTGGACCAATGCAGAGATTAGACAAGTGAAGCCACACATCTGAACAACTATTTTTTTCTAGTCTTATTAGGGTACCATTGAAAAACTTTTTTTTTGTTTTTCGTTTTTTAAGAAACACCTCATTTTCAAATGAATTATTTTCTTTGAATAAGTGAGCTGCTTCCCCAACATGTGGAAATGCAAGCTGATTGCAAAAATGTCAAGATTAAAACAATGCAATCCAGACTATAAAATCTTGTATAATGCCCATTATATCTCACCTGAAAAACATCTTTGCAGGAAACATTCCTTTCTTACTTTCAAATGGGTAAAATTGTACTGAAATGGTTGTTTTGCAGAACTTTTCACAAAAGTTGCCATCTCTGAAAGTTGTATTTCCAAGTTACATTCTAAAATTCACTGTGCCTACCACAATTAGCACTGGTGATAATAACAAAAATGCAAGTAATCACAGTTGTCTTTAAAAGCACCTGTTTCTTGCATACTGAAGCATAAGATATTCATGGATTGTAGCAAAGCCCTCAGCTTTTTTCATGTATTACAACTACAACCCCAAATGCATAAGTAGTTTAAAGGAACAGAATACACTTATTAGAAGCATTCTTTGTGGGCATGCATTTCTGTAAACTTGGAAAATAAACAGTGAAAAAAGTCTAGAATGGACCATAAGTATCACCTCTCAGGGAAGCCATCTGTGAGTCTATGAAACTCATATTTTGCTATCAGGTTCTTTATGGGGGTTGTTTTGATTTCAGCGTTACAGGCACAAGGCCTTCACTAAGCAATAGGGCTCCGAATGGGCATTTGCTTGTTTTTTTAGGCAAATGACTACATGAGCCATGAATACTTTATACTGGGAAACTTTGATTTGTAAGTGTAAGGAAAAGATTTTATAGCTACTTTAATGTTATGAAATGAAAAAGGACAAGTTAAAACCTAAAAAAGAAGAGGGCAATGAGCTCATTCTGGGTCACATATTTTAGTTGAAGCAGACTTTCCTTTCCTGCTACCTACTCATCAGCAAGGTAGTCAGAGGTAGCCTAACCATAATAATGAATAGCTAAAGTCTGCCTTCTAAACAGTTTATAGAAAATTCTGGGGAGGTAACGTTAGCTACCGTTCTAATTAAAAATTATACTTGGGAAGCTGGCTAAGGCTTATCGCATAGCACCTGGCAGACACTGGAACAAACGGTAGGGGCCTGTGTGAAGCAGCAGGACTGAGCACAGAATGCATTAGGGCTTTACGATGCACCACGGACAATAATCATAACCAGATAGTCATCCTCTGACTTAGCCAGAGCCTTGGCTGTGGAATCCAGGAACTGTTGAGAAAAATCACAGGGTGGGAAAGCATGCAAGACCCCGCTGTTTTCTTTGTCTTTGTTGCCTCCCACTGGGAGGCTTATCACCCCAGCTGCCTGTTTTTGTTTAAGATAGGACACCAGGTTTCTGAGTGGCCGCTGAGTAGAGGTGGTGTTAGCTTCACCCGCCCCAGATGAGGCACGGTTGTCTGTTGTACCAGGCACAGCCAAGAGAATAGCATATCCATTAGGCCCTGCCACTTTGATACGACGGGTAACTTCATCCAGCTTGGGCTGGTCCAAACGAAGACGCTGGGTGATCTTAAGCTGGGCCACTTTCCCACCAGTTGCTCCTTCCACCAGAAGACTACTTGCCACGCTCAGATCTCCTTGAAGCAGATGCATGTTAGATGGAAAGTTGCTGTTCTTCAGCAGAAGCATTCCTTGCCAGGCCAGGCACAGTTTGGCAGAAGATCCAGACTTGGACGTTCCATCCTGCTGTTGCTGTTTTTGGGGTGGAGGTTTCAGACGAGATCCCCCACTACTGCCCCCTTCAGAAACATGATCGTCCTTTTTAGCAGGGCTCTTGCACTCTTGGGCAGCAGCAGATGTGAGTGCACGATGTTTTCTCTCCCTTTCAACTGAGCTCTTGTGGTCACGCTTTTCACTCTGTCCTCTCTCCAAACTACCCCTGCGTGGCTCTCTGATGGGTGAAGAACGTTCCAGCAGGAGCAAACGAGAAGACGGCCGTTCTGTATCACTACTATAGCGGTCTCTGCTTATACCCGGCTCAGGACTACGGTCTTGTGGAGAAGTTGCAGCAGGGCAGTGCCGTTTGCGAGAGGAAGATGATCGTTCACTGTCGGGTGAACGGTCCAAATGTCGCCCTCCATCCTCCACTAGCCTTCGCTTCCTCGGTGGGTCTCTACTGCTGCTGCCTAGCTCCCTTTCCCCACGAGTTCTTTCTAGAGACCAACCATCTCGTCGGCGTTCAAGACTTTCCAGTGCATCATAAACAGTGGCTCTGTTACCTCTCTCCCGAACAGGAGGTGGAGGAGGTACCCATTCTGTCTCAGGATAAAGATCTCTATCACGATCCCCATATAACAGTGGTGGGGACCTATCCCGAGCACCTCGGAGTGGGTCTGGTGGAGCTCCACGATGTGCCCCAAAAGCAGATGTCTCTGCTACTAGTTCATAGTGGGTGGGGGGTGGAAGTGGTAATGGTTGCAAATAGGGCTGTTGATATCGATGCTCGGTGTCAGCAAAGTCTACCCTCAGACGGCGGTCTGGCCCACCCAGCGGAAACCCACGCATATGGGTACAAGCAGCTTGTGCAGCATCCAAGCTCTCATACTGGATGTAGGCCCATGAGTCTCCTTTACGATAGTCAATAGTACGAATAGTGCCAAAACGGTCAAATTCCCTGGCAAGGGCAGCCAATGGTACCCAAGGTCCCAGGCCACCCACCCATAGTCTTGTGGTAGGAGTGGCCTTACCATAGCCAATTTTGATAGGATTACGAAGCAGCACTTTACCAGACATGGCTAGTTTAGCTCGGTGGGCCATATCCAAATTCTCAAACTTGAGAAATCCGTATGTACTTGTCTGACCTCGGGTTGGCCTCTTGATATCTACTTCAGTGATAACTCCAAAGCGGTCAAACGCCCGACGGAGGTCTGACTCAGTCACTGATATATCTAAATTGCCCAGAAAAAGTGTGCGATTGGCTCTCTGGTCATCTTCAGGGCTTATCTCTTCCTCACTGGCTGTTCCTGTAACACCAACCCCACGAAATGCAGCTGCTGCCACTCCAGCCACTCGATCCAAACTGTACGCAGGCCTCACCCGGTCATAGAAGCCCCCATAGTCTCGCTCTCTTTCCAACTCTCTAGGGAGAGGTGGTGGTGGCAGACGGCCCAGGGCAAGCTGCTGCAGTCTGAAGTCTCTGTACCCCAAACCTGCTCCTCCCCCAGCAGGAGAGAGAGCCCTCTGAGCAGCCCCAGCAGGGGGATGCCTGATGGCTGCAGGGGTGGCCCCTGCTACACCCACCGCTGCGGCCCCATAGGGCGAGTCCTTGTCCAGAAGGGCCGGAGAACGACTGCTGCGGCGCCGGCCGCTTCCCCCTCCGCTGCTACTGCCCCCCACGTAGACAGCCTCGATCTTTAGGGGCCGGTCGTAGAGGACCAAACGGCCTCGAGCGTGCTTGGCAGCTCGGGCGTCCTCGGGGCGGCGGAAATTGACAAAGGCCACTCGCTCGTCGCCAGCCCCGGTGCCCGGCGGGAGGCGGCTGATCTTGACACTTACGTCTCCGAAGCGCTTGAATTCGTGGAAGAGCCCGTCCTCGATGGCTTCGTCGCTAAGCGCGGAGCCCAACTCGCTGATCTTGAGCGTCTTGTACTCGCTGCTGCCGCCAGAGTCGGATGGGGGCGCGCGGGAATCTCCGCCGCCGCGGCTGCTGCTGCCACGCGAGGATGACGAGGACTCGGCGTTCTTGCTGCTGCTGTTGCTCCCGCCATACCCGTGGCGGCTACTGCTCCCTCCGCTCACTGCGGTGGAGTCATATTCGCGACTACTGGCCCGACTCGCTTTTTCCAGGTGAAGGCTCCGCCGACTGCTACTGCTGCCGCCACCGCCCTCACCGGAGCCGCCACCCGCCGATTTCCCGCCGCCGTTGCTCGGCTTCTTACTGCTTCGCTCTCCCCGCGCTGAGGAGGACTCCTCGCCTCCCCGGGACCGCTTGGCCTTGGCAGGGGAACGCTCCTTGCCCTTCATGGCGACGAGCAGCAGCGAAAAAGAATCGCGCGCTGACTATCGCGCCTCACGCACCCGCCGCCATCTTGGAACCTCCTGCAGACTCGAAATCCGCCCACTTGGCATCCATTGGACAGCTTAATTGCAATCTATTCTTCTCATTGCACGAAACGTTTGTCAGTACGGTTTGGGGGGATGTTCTTGCGGCTCAGAGCTCCGGAAGCGGAAAGCCCGCCTTCAGAATCTCACCCGTAATCTGATTAGACGAAGCGCCCATCACTCCTAGAGTTGTTAAGCCCCAGTGGACAAGAATAGCACTAGTGGCACCCCATAGGTCAAGTGTTACGAAGCTAAAAGTAGGAGCACAGATTGGGTTGGCCAGCAATAGCATCAATCCCAGCCATTCCGCTCTCCGGAATAGCTCAAGCATTGATTGGTCGTTTTCTCCGAATCGGTGATTCCGGCCCACCTCCATTTGTACTAACCAAGGAGAAAAAGGCTCGCGCAGCGCCTTTGATTTGATTGGATAATGCTATTGCCTATTGCAACGGCCTCAACTGGCGGCGAGGATGCTGTAGCTGTCAGCTCATTGGACGGTCAACGGCGCCCTTTAGAGATTTGGCGAGAGTTTCTTCGTTTGTCTTGGCGGAGGCGCGAAGGGAGCGGACGCTCGTCTTTCTCGCCTCGCCGGCGTGTCCCTGAAATTCTGTGGCGAGCCCGTTCGCGACGAGCGTGCGAAGGCTGCGGCCAACTGGGAAGGCAGCCGAGGCGAGACGTCAAGGCCTTCCACCGTCGCAGGGGCTCGCGCGACCCCCGAACCCCAAGCGCGCTGCACTCGCATCACAGAAATACGCACAACAGCCGCGAACTGTCGCCCAAGTCGGCTCACTGGGCCGGCCACACTGATCTGGTGTTTATTGATTGATTAAAGCACCGGCCAGTGGCTGTTCAAGCTTTGGTCCAATTAAACAGTGTAACACGACGCGAACAGGCCACTAATAATGAGATGTAAGAACAACAACAAGAAGAAGAAACGCCTAACAAATTTTTATCTGGCACTAAAAAGACAATTTAGGCCATATTTGGTGACAGGTTTCCGGAGAGAAGATGCCACAGCTGAAAAGGCTTCGTTTGCTTTCGCACCCCTATCCCTCACGGTCCTTGTAAATGCCTATGGGTGCTATCTGTATTGCATATTTTCTTATAATTGTCAGGCTGATTGTTCTGCATGACAGCATCCTGTGTCCTGACCTGATGAATTGTATAAATCGTCCACTCCTGCTGACAAACCTGGGTTTATTTTGCCCATCTGCATTTTTTTCCCTGAGCAGTCAAGTCAATGATGCGGTTTGCTTGCATCCCTATAGACTCCTTTGGCAGATGGGTGAGACTGGATAAGGGGGGAGGCACGGTGGAAAGTTCTGACTACGTATGGAAAGAAAGTTCTCAGATAGGAATTTCCTATCCACTACAGAATGGCAGATAATGACATAGGTTTGTTTCTAAGAATAGTGGCATTGTTAGGTAGGTAGCAAGAGCAGGAGAAGGTTATTGCTTGTGATCTTTACGCAGGCATCTGGTGGCCACTACAAGGAGGCAGAGTGCTGGACAAGATAGACCTTTGGTCTGATTAAGCACTGGTCTTCATATTCTGCAGTTATTTAAGTAGGTCAGTTATCATAGCTTCTGTTATCCACAGCTTCAGACCTACCTGCTATCAAGGCCCACCATTAGCAAAATAATGAAGAGATATAATACCTGTTTTGCTAGCACATACATTTGGTATACATTCAATGTTCCATGTACCAAGGCAATGAGCTCTGCAACTTCTGGTCCAAACTTTTCTTTCACGTTATCTGGAAGAATGTATCTGCTACCACACTCCTCTGTCCATGTGGCACAATCCTACCATTCAGTGGTGATTTCAGTCACATTTTACAATACCAAAGAGCTGGCTTTTTTATTCCCCATTGGAACAAACTAGAGAAAGTATGGGCAATATCAGGAACCAGGGGCACATTATGTTGTATATCACTTTGAAATTCAATATGAAGGGGGTAAAATATTTTAAGTAAGTAAAACAGGCTCACCTGCCCTCTAGCCATCACTAAAATCATTGTCATGAGTAAAGCACTGAACAGGGTAAGTCCAAGCCTAGCTCTGCCGAGTGATCCCAAGGTATCCATCAAAGCTTCTCCTGAGAAAAGGCTTTTTCCAGCATTACTATCAGACACTGCAATCCCTGATAGGAGAAGTGAAATGCACAGCATTGCTTTATACTATCCTGAACCATGGGGATCAGATTTTGTCCAGAATCACAGCACTTTACCTTTCCCATTCAGAATGAATGACAGTCGTGTGTGTGTGTGTGTGTGTGTGTGTATAGAATGTGCTTAGGATTCCTAGACTTTAAAGATCTCTCACACTTGTACCTGCACTGCCCCAAACAGAGCTATGCTTGGTCTCACAACAGTATAACAACACAGAGAAGGGTTAGGACAGACTTTTCTGGAAAGGAGACCAACCTCATGTTGGTTTATCATGGCTGATCGAAGTCTCCAGAACAAGATTACATAGCTACTGCTCAGAAGTTGTCAAATTGTTACCCTGTGGAGAAACATTTCTTGAAGAAGTCAGACCTAGCTGACTTCAACAACTCCTAGACCTTTCTCTGCACACTCAGGTGAAAACAGTTGCCACAAGTTATCTGCTTCAGCTGATTTACCAGCTGTGAGCTCTCAGAAAAAATAGACCTAGTAACAGTTATCCACACTGCAATTACTTTCAGACTAAACTATTACAATGCTTGCTACATGGGGCTGCCATTAAAAACAGCTTAGAAATTTCAGTTGGTCAAAATGCAGCACCTTTTTCTACAGAAGGATGGAATTTGATATTAATCTGCTGTTGCTCCTCTTCATTTCCCAGCTCATGATAAAGTGCTGGACCTGACATTAAAAGTAGATAGAACCATCTCATTGGATGGATAATTTACTGGTTCACACTAACTTCATAACAAATATGGCCAATAGGCTGGGCCAGTGGTGGCGAACCTATGGCATGTGTGCCACAGTGGGCATGCAGAGCCCTCTTTGTTGGTGTGTGGGCCAAGGCACCCCAGCATTGCCCCAGCAGCCAAGCGTTGGATAGCAGTACACATAGGGGCCATGTGCATGCTTGGAAAGGAGCAGCGACACAAGGCCATGATGTCACAAGCCATGACTCAGCCATGACTCGTCCAAGCTTTTGCATGGCCAATCAGTGCACTGCCAAGGATGGATGGATGGATGGATGGATAAATAGATAGATAGATTTGTTTGGTCTGGCTGTGAGTTGTTTTTTCTAAACTAAAACCTCAGTTTTCAGGTTTTATTGCAGTGTTATAAATAAGTGGGTTTTGGGTTGCAGTTTGGGCATTCAGTCTCTAAAAGGTTCACCATCACTGGGCTAGGCTAACCAGCCATAACGTGCCCTAGGTTACATATAGCTCAGCAGAGATTTATAACTGGTTGTCCCTCATCTAAGTCCAACTCTCTAACTTCAGCAACATTTAATAGCAGAATATGTCAGATAGCCTAGTTCAAGAATTAACTTGTAACTATACTGTTGCCCTCTATATTTAAAGTGATGTCTGTAACTGTGATTGATAGGCCAGTGAAGTCTGAGCACTGGAAATGAAATATAGCAACATCTTGGTTCAACACTTGCTATGCTGGACAAAAACACCTTTCCAGTAACTGGGAAGATTTGCCCAAACAGAATTTGGATATAAAAGGATAGGGACAAAATCTTTCATTATTTTTGGATAGTGGATTGGGCTACAAACTCTATATTGAAATCTTACCCTGACTGAATAATTCAGTATATTAGACTTAAATTAGTGCCAAACAATTTCACATTTCAATATAGCTCTCTTTCATGCAGATAAAGTTCTAACAGGCTGTGTGGGAGACAAGCAGAAAAGCATAGTTAGACTGGGTGTCATAGAAACGAATTAATGGTTAGCATGAATCTATTTTCAAATCACACTGACAGAACCTCCATTAATTTCTTTTTTGAGTTACTTTACTGGGTTTGAAAGGATGACATAGCAGAAGAACATACACAACTTGCTTTGATCTTAATTGAATTTAGACACAATTCATCTGCTGCAAACTACGTTTTTATCGCTTTTGAATGGTGTGCCATAGTCTTATTGAATGATGTGCAAGATCTAAGAACATAAGAAAAGCTATATTAGATCATGCTCAGGGTCTACCAGTCTAGCATTCTTTTCACACGGAGGCAAACCAGCTGCCCACAGGATCTCTTAAGCAATATTTGAGTAAAACAGTCCCCTCCTGACCAAGATTCCCAGAAACTGGTGCACATAAGGATACTACCTCTGATACTGAAAGTGGCACTCAGTCATCAAGACTGGTCGCCATTGAAAGCCTTCTCCTCCATAAATTTGTCCAATCCTTTTTGATGCTGACCAAATCAGAGGCCAAGAAGTCTTTCATCTGTCATGAATCCCTCACCAATCCCAATTCCCAGGATGAGCCTGGGCTCCAGTACTATGGGAGAGAGAAAAATCACTCCACACCATGCATAATTTTGAACACTTCTATCATGTCTCCTCTTACTCACCTTTTCTCTAAGCTGAACAGTCCCATGCCTCATAGGGGAGCCGCTCTAGGCCTCTGAACGTTTTTGTTGCCCTTCTCTGCAATTTGTCCAACTTTACAATGTCTCTTTCCAGGTAAGGCAACCAGAACCGAACACAGTATTCCAATTGCAGTCACACCAAAGATTTGTACAAGGGAAGTAAAATGTTGGCAGTTCTGTTTTTTGTTACGTTCCTAATTATGCCTAGCATGGAGTTTGCCTTCTTCACAGCAGCTGTGCATGAGGCATCGAGTTGTCCACTAATACCCCAAGAATAATGCATATGTGGGAAATGGGACATTTTCCTCACTCTTTCATAACACTTGAGCTCATTGCATGAAGTTGATTGTTGGGAGGTTAAGGACAGAAAAAGGAAGTATTTCTTTATTTATTTATTATATTTATATCCCATCTTTCTCCCACTGTGGAAC